TCCTCAGCAGCTACTTTTAGTAAACCCTGATGCTCCATACACTGATTGCACCAGGCTACATTAATGACATCAGCATTTAACCTCCCTCATGACCTGCTTCAGCCATTGGTAAACAAAGGCTAAATGAGCCACATACCACTTTAGAACTAAATTTGCATACTTCCCAATGGAATTCATTGCTTTTGGGTTAAAAAAGTGCAACATGTACTAAGTTAAGACGAAAGCTATACGTAATTCAAAAGGTTTCATGGTTTTTGCAATTTTTCTAATGAATTACCACAAGAGGAATGTGATGTCTGATCCTGATGTTTCAAATTCAGTAGTGTTGGTGTGGCTCTCTCTTAGTTCCAAAAAATGCACACACAAACTGCAGAGCTGGAACCATATGGCTGATGTGCTTTACATTTAATTTATTTGAAGTATTGTACTTTTTTTGTTTCTATAACAAGAAAAACTTTCAGTGAAGTATTGAAATGAAGAATGTGAACTGGAGTTTTTTATGAAGCATGCGTCAGTCATATGTTTCCAGCTCTGTAGTTTGGGTGTACATTTTTTGGAAATAAGACGGAGCCACACTAACAAGTAATCAACAAACAATTTTAATTCAACTGAAATGAAATTCTCAGTTTTAAGATTGACTCTTTCTACACATGTATACACAAAAACAAACTCAGTCTTAAGTCTAATTACGAGAATACATGTCGCATGCAAATCAGGATAATGTATGTATGTAAGCAAATTAGAGAAGCATTTTTGTTTTTACTTCTCCTACGTAACTTCTCCTCAGCCAGCAGGGCATGCCGGCTGATACCTCGGCCCTCCTACCTTTGGCTGTTTTTTGTTTTTTTTGTGTGTGCCCGTTTCCAAAAGAGACCTCCATCTGTCCCTACACTCAGCCCCATTGTGGTATTCCAAAGCCCAGCAACTTCCACAATGCAGTGGGCGTGCAGTGAGGTGGGCGGGTGAGGGGGGTGCAGGGTAAACACGACTGCATCCAGATCCCATTAGAAGCTCTTTAACTCCTACACCATAATACTCTCAGACTCTGGGAGGAGAAGGCCCCTTATCTGCATGCACCAATGTCACCTTTTACACCCGATCCAAGACGTAATGAGTGTGCGATCTGCCCTCTTTCCTCCCCTAACATCTATTTTTTCCTCCTTTGTTCTTTCCTACATCAGCAGAACAAGCTGTAAAGTTAGATTTTCTTTGCACTATTTATCAGACAAACTATGGTTGTTCTCATTTGCTTTGGAACATGGTTTATTTTAGCAATGAAGATATTTAAAAAAGCTCACATATGCAGCAAAAAAAATAGACACCCTGTAATAGTAATGTGTGGGTGATAGGATATGTGAGGGAGTATAAACACTTTATGAATAAAGTAAGGCTTATATTGTTGACTGTATGTGTGTGCACATGTCTGTATGTCAGGTGTGGTGGGGGGTTAGGGAAGAAAGACGAAAGGTAATAATGGAGAGAAAAAAACTGTGATATATTAAAACGTAAAATAACTACATTCATGTATCAATATTACAGGGGGGTTAGGACTTTTTGACAGAAAAAACTATTCTTGAATTTTTTATTAGAGTTAGAATGAATTGAACTAATATTCAATGTTTGGTAATAAAATCAGGGTAATGGCAAGTTAAAGTTTTTAAAATGTATATTTAAATGATTCCACCGTGTTGACCGTGACCATGCCAGTCCTCATTATTTAAATTCTCCCTTCCTCCAGTTCCTACATCTTCTCATGTCTCTTCCCACATCTCCCTCCATCCATCTTCTCCTTCTTTCTTCTACCAGCTGCCTCTCTAAGTCACGGCCGTCTCTTTTTCGGGTTGCTCCACCTCTCAACCTGAGCGCTCATATATATTCCTATGTTCCCCACAGAGGAGGCGTGAGTGTGTGTGTGTGTGTGTGTGTGTGTGTGTGTGTGTGTGTGTGTGTGTGTGTGTGTGTGTGTGTACATGTGTGTGTGTGTACATGTGTGTACATGTGTGTGCATGCGCTCTGTGGCCTGAGAGCAGGGGGGGGGGGATCACTGTGTTGGCCCCAGCTTAAAGGCAGAGGGATTACCGGCACACAGACACTGATTAAAGCCTTCCAGCATCCCATGGCCCCATTAATACAATCTTAATCACAATGCTTTATCCTTCCATCTCGCTCCTATGGATCAGGACCTTTTCATTTTAGTGGGAGCCACTCTTGTTTGGCCAGTGGATTAAGCACGAGGCCCAAAGAAAACTGGAATATATGCACGAGACAGCAAGCTAACTCTTTTAGCTCCGCTTAATCTGCCAAAATGATTCATCTTCTGAATTAATATTACATGTTGGGAGCAGGATTCATGCAGTCTGTATGTTAAATATACCAAAAAAGAAAATCCCCAAATATAAAAAAAAAAAAAGAAAAAGCAGTTGCATTTTTTTCTGTGTTGATGTATGACATGACCTTTCTGTCCCGGGGGATTGTGCCACAGGTCGTGCTCTACAGCCTGTCGTGTCGGCCGACATGGCTTTACAGAGCCTGTGTATACTTCACATTAAAAGACCATTGTCCCCTTATCATGTAGAAGAGCCACTTGATACACTGAATCTTAGTCTCAGTTTGCAAAACACACTGTACAGTCAGGTTCATTTTTAAGCATTTTTTCAAGCAAATTGTGGGGATAAATTCACTAAAGTCACCATCCTGCAATAAAAAAGGCAATTATATTAGAGCTTTTTAGTTCAGTTTAGTTTTTACCAGAAGAGGACATTTGTTATGAATCCCTTTTTTTGTTTTTCGTCCTTGAACCAGATTTGTGCTCAATACCAAAACTACCGTTGTTAAGATACTGAAATAAAGATCTTTTGACAGGATCACATTTTTTGTTACCTTATGTGATATATATTAAATGGTATATATATTAAAATACATCTTGTGGATTTGGGTAAAATTAAGCCCGAAGTAACACAGAAAGAATCTGATTGTAATTTACTGTACTCCTTTATAATATTTTTTGTTTTTTATGAGGTGTATATGTATTTTTCAAACTATCTCTCTGCTGCCATGCCATGAACTCCATAGACTGTCTTCCATCTCTGTGTTTTGTAATCTTGAATCCAAAGTTAATATGTGTGGATTATTTCCATATCTACCCACTCATGTATTTGGACTCAGGAAGATAATCCACAAACCCCTCCCCAACACACACACACACACACACACACACACAAAACAAAACGTAAAATTTTCAAAACAAAACAGCAAAAACACAAAGAGGGAGTGCACCAGTTTACTCTGCCAGTACTTTCTCACAGGCCAAATGTCTGTGTGTGTAAAGCTATTTGTCACTCCTCTGCCAGAGCTGAGCACAGAGGACAAAAATGTGAATGAGGAGCAAGGACCTCCGTCACCCGTCCTGCCCTCTCCTCTTCTTTCCTCTCCTCCTTTTCCCTCTCTCTAACCCGTCTCTCTCTCTCTCTCTCTCTCATGCTCTCACTCTCCTCTCTCTCTCTCTCTCTCTCTCTCTCTCTCTCAAATTGGCCCAGCTGTCCATCAGCCCCCCCACAGTTCCCCCAGCTGTCTGCCCTCCCCAAACGAGAAGCCAAACAACAATACAGGTCACAGGTCAAGAGAAAGAACAGGCTGCGTTCACAATGGACCAGTGGCGCCCAGTAAAACAATCGTTCCCTTTTTCTCCTCCGTCCCTTCTGCGCTGTTGCTGGGACTGGAAAAGACAAACCTTTTGGAGAGGTAGTTGAAGAGGGGGGACGTCCCCTTGGACAACAGCCTCCAAGGCACCTTCCTCTTCTTATAATGGCCTTAAGGACCACAATGATAAACACTCGACCACAACAGCGCTTGCTCTCCCACCTCTCTATTCTTTGCTTCTATGAAGAGCCATCATGTCCTTAAACACCATCGCTGAAGTCAAAACTGAGACTTTTGTCATTCGATGAGTGATATAAATGTTTTAGGAACCTCGGAACGGATTCGATCTAAGCTAGAAATGGGCATCACAATGCACTTTATTTTATTCCCTCCATGACTCTGTCTATTGATGTAGAAAAAGTCTTTGAAAATGAGCTTTTGCCCCACAGTGTTTTGGCATGAGCTGGATGGGAAAATGGGACATGTGGGAGAAAGAGACTCAGAAAAGCCTCTGTGACACGTTCACCTGTTCCCCAGAGCTGTTTTCCCATGGCCCACAACAGCCCTGCTGCCTGACCTGATGGACCCCGTGGTGCACTTCTGAATGATCATACACACACACACACACACACACACACACACTCACACATCCCGCAACAGATCTCTATAGCACGACCACACTTCTTATATTCAGCATTTTAGTCTTGCATGTTTTGCCCTTGTAGTGTTTGTGAAAAAATACTGAACCACTTTATCCTTTCTTTCAAATAGAGACATTCTGTTTCCAATTTATTGTATTAGTAGAATTGTTTATTTGTTGAAGCATCTTTCAATAAAAGTAAAAAGTATCTTTAAGGTTATTAAGCCTGAATTTTATATCTGCTATATTATGTTCATCTATTGATGCTGTCCATTTGACTTCGGATAAATGCAAAGAGAACTTTGTATTCATGTATAAAGATCTTTGGATTTTATGTGAAATTGTATGACATAAATAAAGTTAGACTTCTTATTTGTGGTGCACTGAGAAACATAAGGGGGACTGCACATTTCTCATGGCAAAAGAAATGTGAAAATATGATAAGTTAATTTACATGAAAACCAAACAATATTATGAAGTCTGATCTGTTCACCATAAAGAATAATCTATTCAGAAGCATTGTACTGTCCCTAACCCATAATGGGAGATATGGACCTTCTTTGAACTGAACATGACAGCATGACAAAAGAAAACACAGAGCTGAAAGGGTTACTGTAGAAATATAATATAAGAATATTTATTCAATTAAGTGCGAAACAGCAAAATATTTACAACAGTACAGTATGACAAAAATAGTGACACCAATGAACAAGTACCTGAAAGACCTCAAATAAATAAATTAAATACAGTACAGATGACAGTAACTTACACCAAACCAAGAAGACAGTGAACAAAAAAAAAGATGTGCTGAGAAAATTATTTTAAAAAGGACAAGACGTTATCAAAATAAATATTAAATACTGATATAAATAAATGCATTGGTTTTTTTTATGGCCAAGGGGAGCATTGGTTGTGCACAATTAAGTTTGGATGACTTTATGATCAATTTTATTTCATAAATGCAGACATTTTCTGACTGTGTTCATGTTTTGGTTCAATCCCAATCACTTCACAGAAACGCACGTGGCATCCTCGTTCTGAATGGATTTGGCAAAATCATCTCCAGTCATTTTGTAAGTAACTATGTGGGGAAATAAAATTAACAGCTAGAAATAAAATCCAAATAATGACCAACATAAAAAAAAATTATAAATTACATTAATTATTTAAAGTCATGGGTGCATGTTTGTATCAGGTAGATCGAGTTGAGGTGAGTCTTTCTCTAAACTTTAGAGCTCCCAGAATCCAAAACAACAGAAATGCAAACCATTTTCTCTGTACAGTCAGTATCACAGCTGTTCTTTTCACAGCAGTTAATTCAAGAGAAGTCTTTTACCCTTTCAGTTTCAATATCCTCTACACTGCTCACTCCCACTTTAGAGTGTGCCCATCTGTGAGCTGATCATGTGAGACGAAGTGAAGGAGTCGAAGGCCACATCCAGGGGCATCTCGTAACGAGAGGCCTGAAAAAGTGGATGGCCCTGAGGCCCCCCTGCCGTGGACAAGGGGTAATGGTGGGATGGGAGGTAGTGGGCATGGTGGCCGGTGTGGGATGTGTAGTTCCTCTCTGACTCATTGGGAGAAGGCTCTTGCTTCAGGGCAAAGTTGCCACTGATGCTGAGAGGGGGAGTGAGGGGCCCGTCGTACGGAGGGGTGCCGCTGCTGCACTCGTTAGGGGAGGGGTTGTCGTACACAGACCCCTTGTATCCCTTCATATGGAGGAGATGGGAAGCCTCCAGGGAGCCGTAAGGGGGGCTTGGAAGGCCTGGAGATGGGTAGCTGAGAGGATGGCTGGTCTGACCCCCTACACCACCCACCCCAGGGCCTCCACACTTGTCCTCTAGCTTGTTGAGCATCACGGGACTGGGCCCCAGCTGCAAGCAGCCAGCTACCAGGTTACTGGTGGGCTGAGACAGACCTTTACACAGCATCTCCACAAAGCCGTGGCTCTCTGTGGACTGGCCACTCTCCAGCACCTCTGACAGAGCCCAGATATAGTTGCGGGCCAGCCGGAGAGTCTCAATCTTTGACAGCTTCTGTGTCTTGGTGTGGCAGGGCATGACTCTGCGCAGACTTTCCAGTGCGTCATTCAACCCGTGCATTCGCGAACGTTCTCTGGCATTGGCTTTGACCCGCCGGGCACGAAACCTCTCCTGACGAGCTTTGGTCATCTTCTTCTTCTTAGGGCCCCTTCTTTTGGGAGCATTTTCTCCGTTTGGTCCAATCTCCTCCTCATCTTCCTCCTCATCTTCCTCCTCCATGTCCTCACTACCAAGCTCTGTGCAGGAGTGGATCCGGCTCCCTCCGTTTAGGTCGTGTCGCCCTCTCAGCTCAGGGCTTTCATCTCCGTCCTGAGAGCTGCCGTCCTCATCCAGCCAGCCCAGGGAGCTCACCAGCTCACTCACATCACCACTCTTTCCAAACGGTTTGGGCATCATTTTGATCTGAAGAAATACAGAAACCACAATCAGTCAATCAACAGATTCAACCTCACAGGTGTTAACTACATATGTACTGTACAAGCATAATGCAAAAAGACGACACCTGAACTGTGATAATCTGCAGAGGAACTATTTACAAAGTGCTCTCATTTCAGCACTTCAGTGTGGACAGCTCACTCGTCTCATTAAAAAGAAACTGGCTCTGTCCAGCAACACCTATTTTAAGGAAACCCTGACACTATTTAAAAAGTCTTTTGTTGCGATATTCTGACATTAGAGGCTTGTTTTTAGAATAATGTGTCTGAATGGTCCCCTGCTGTTATGCTGTGGACGCTGTCAATCTGGGACAGGACAGGATTTACTCAGAATATAAAGCTCAAAGATTAAAATAGGGGACAGGAAAACTGTTCATTATGTTACAGACGACTGAATTTCTCCTTTTCTTCCTGACCTTACAGAATAAATTCATGAAGCCTAAAAAAAAATTGCATGTTAGTTTTTGTTTTTTTAAAAGAAAAAAAGAATCTCAGACCCCAGAGTAAGAAAATAATAAAAAAAGAAACTTAATTACTGTGCGTTACTGTAATTACTGAGTAAAAGGATGATAAAAAACTTTAATGCATGAATTTGAAACTTAAAAAGCACAAATATGACTGCATTATATGAAACTGAAAATAATTAGCCTGTAAGAGTACTATAAATATGAGACCTTTATGCCAATTGATTGCAGTTGACCATAAAAAAATCATATCAAGCTTAAGAGATTTTTTTTTTCTTTCTGTCCTAAAAGGTAAAACAAGTTTCCTTTAAAGAGTACCTGCCAAAAATGGGAGAACTGACATCTTTAGTTCTTTTTCATTATGGATTTATAAAGAAAACCCAGTGGCCTCACCTGTTTGGATTCACAGCTCGCTCTGTGCAAAGTAAAAGAAAATGTTGAAAAGACGAGAAACTGAGTGATGAGTCCAGAGTCTTTGCGTTTCTGTCTTAATGAATCCAAACTCTGCTGCTTCCTCAAATAGCCATCAATGCGCATGGAATGTTCATCTCCGAATGACACGACAGAGCTGATTTTTTAGCATTTAGCCGGGTAAGCCCCTCCCTCCTGCGCCCCACCCACCATCAATTCATCCAAACGCGCGTGGCGGGCTCGTGGCCAGAAGTTTTTCAACAGAGGCAGAGCTTGCGCCGGGTGCACGCGTGGACAGTGCTTTATTTTGCAAATGAGGAGTCCCTGAAACAATGAAAGGGTATAGTCTGATTGGCCAGAAAAATGAAAACATATTGAACACTTAAATCTTAATTAATCTGATCATCATAAATAACAACTGATATAAGTATAGGATTAAATATGTGATATGCTATGAAACTTTAGGATAGATTCATAAACGCACACAAGGATAATTTTTACATCGCACAAAGGCCATTTTCTGATCTGCATCTCACTCTTATTTGACAATACATAGACAACAAGACACCAAGGTTTTGTCAACCTATTGTCCTCTTACAAAATTCGTTACAGGATACGATGACTTTGTCAAAATATTAAATTTACTTTTTTTGCTATGATCAAGTGCCACCCATTTTATAGCAGTAGGCCTACAAGTCCAAACTAAGTTGATGTGGAATTATCTTTTTTTGTCTTTACACTCACTATTTGACAGAGAGATTTCGGTGTAACGTCAGAATAAGGGGACTTTTTGTAGCCAGACCTAGGAGAAATAAAGTCCTTTTAAAAAGTATTTAATGCAACTCTGTATATCTTCACAGTTAGAAATGTTGGACATAAACATTTCTGGTTGAGTTTTAACGCGCGTGTTAACTAACTATCTCAATCGATTGTCTTCATTAGTCGGTTGGATTAGGATTTTTCCGCTTCATTAAACACACTGTGTGCCTGGTGTTTGCTGCGTAAAGAGACGCTCTTCCATGTGTGCGTATTTAAGTGATTTTGACAGCTTTCTGTGCACAGAGCAGGTGTGTGCGTTGTTCAGTTGATTTCTTACATTTTTAGCGTCATATTCTGCCGCCAATAACTGTGATTGTTGATATGATTGTCGAATCGATTGGTGGTAGGCCTATTATGAACGGACAGGTAGAACTGTATGTGTTGATTTTGAATGTTTGTTCACGTTAACATGGACAATAGAATCGACTTTTTAACACAATATGTAAAGTCCTGATACCATTATGGCTGTGTTGTTTAGAACCTTACCACAATATTGAGCATTTCCCTCAACAAATGTCTAAGCGTAATAAACTCCCGCCTGTCCTCGTGCGTGGCGAGTCGCGCCGCAGTGGGGGTCTATTGTCATTACTGGCCATTGACAGCCGGGGTCTCGCGAGTCGCACGTGCCCCCGCATTGATCCTATTGTGCGCGCGATTGTGCACAGTTGTGTGCTCGAGATGGTGACACACTGAACTTTGCCAACAGCGCTTGTATGCGTAAGCGTTCGGTTCGGTGGCTATTTCCAGATCTTATAAGAAATATGCAACGTTACTAATCGGCAACATAGCGCTAAAACAGGCACTTATCCAGCGATTTATTGAACAGACCCTAACAGATGGCTGGATATAGGAAGCATGGGGGAGGGGGGGGGGGCATCTGTTGCTTGGGTGCTCGAGCGTCACCGCTTGCCCGAGATGATGTCTCGTGCTGAAACAGCATTTATACACCTCTTAACGGTCCTAATCACTCCTGGGCAGTGCACGTGTGTGTGTGTGTGTGTGTGTGTGTGTGTGTGTGTGTGTGACATTGCTTGCATGTGTATGGCCTAAAGTCCAGACTATTGATGTGCCCATAGCTCCCCAGGTACATGGACCCCATACTCACCCAAACACACACACACATATAGTACACTCCTCTTCTGTCCCATGAGTGTGAGCAGGGTCTTCACCACACCTGCAGCCTGTGTGGGGAATTGGGGCACGGAAGTCTCCCACATTTCCCATCGGTTTCCCAAATGACTAAGTATTGGAGAGGGAATTGTGTTCTGCTCCCATTTTCGCAGTAACACAGATAGGCAGCCTTCCGGAAGAGGTCAGGGTGCACACGTGATCTGGAGCAAAGTTTGATGAGTTTGCATGCTTTAAATCTGGGCTAAGCATATCAATCAAATATTTACTTTAAAATAATGTATTAGTCAATTTCTGATGCAACACGCAAGATTTTTTCAAGTATATGTGTGTGTGTGTGTGTGTGTGTGTGTGTGTGTGTGTGTGTGTGTCACTATAGTTTTGTTGGTTAAACTGGCTAAGATGCTCAAAAAGCCACCGAAGATACATTTTGGTATTTGAGTAAAAGTACCAGTCTTAGCTTTTTAAGTGCTGTTATTGCAGAATGGAGTAACCCCCTTCCTCACTGCCACAAGTGAGTTGTCTCTCGCCCTCATCCCCTGGGACCCTGAGTGGAATGGGAGGGATTTGTGCACTGCGCTGACAGATGGGTCCTTGTTCCTGTCTTTTTCTTCATCTTTATCTCCCTCGCCCTCTCTTGCTAAAACACAGACACACTCACACACACCAAGACTGCACGAATACAATAGGAATTAAAGCTCCGCACACATGCTCCCTGCACTGCTACTGAAAGCTGAGCCCCTTGTAGTAATCATAAAAGATGGAGTGTGCGTTTGTGAGAGGGGTTGGGGCGGTAATGGGTGGGGGTGATGTTGCAAGGGATAATGAGGAAAGGGATAACATTGTTATATTGTCAAAGTAAAATAAAAAGTTTGAAAATGTCAGCCACCAGAATTCATTTTTAGATATTTAAAGATGTATCTGTTGCACATCTAAGAGTTCTTGTTTCAAGTTCTGAAGCAAGTCTGTCTTGACCACATTTACTTTACATGACTTTTTCAAATAATTTCTACTTTGCCGTTAGTTTGTGCATTAACATGCACGCTTGTGTGTGTGTGTGTGTGTGTGTGTGTGTGTGTGTGTGTGTGTGTGTCCCAGGACTCAGTTCTCTCACCATTTGCTGTTCACTGAGGCTGAATATCAGACATGAGGGAGACACCGACTGAGGCATACTGACTCTGCTGCACACTGGGGAACATCAGTCGTGTCTGTCTCACACACACACACACACACACACACACACACACACACACACACACACACACACACACAGTCCTGTTTTAATCTTAGTTACAACTCTATGTTAGTTCAGTCTTTCATGTAAAAGATATCATAAAAATATGTATTTTTTCACATGTTGTAAATACTTTTATATGAATAAAACAAATGAAAACTGGAGATCACTGAATGAATGAGAGTATATGCAACTGAGAGTTTGCACTGCTCCATCTGCAGTTAACACACATTAACCTTTGCACACAAACCCCAGTGACACATGATAGTCGTGGTCTCAAAGAAAGTTTGTGTAAATCTCCGCCACACAGACAGACTGGCAATTATCTTTACCACTTTATGTAGGAATATAATCCCATGTTTGACATAACCCAAGCATAATTTTTGGCATTTTGTCTTCAACACATGTCAACCCTCTTAAGAGTGTTTAGGTTCACAAAGTTTTGATTTTGATAAGATCAAGCAGAATTTCATCCAGGCAATCTGAGCAGATTGTTTGCAGTTTATTCTTCCTCCTTTTGGCTAATGGATTTGAAGACATTCCAATCGGGCAGAAATGTAGCTACAGAATGGGAATCAGGCCTGAGGGCAATTCTCACTAAGTGGGGAGAGAGCCATTAAACAAAGGTGCCCGTGGTTTCATATTCAGGATACTTTACAATCCTCCGTCCCAGGACATCAACAGTGTTTTTGGGTGTGCTGTTGGGGGGGGGGCTCCATCTGCCATGCTGCTGGTCCTCAGGGAGACGGGCATATCCCAGGGGTGTTTTGGAGAGAGAAGGGCTGAAAGGATTACACCCAACCACTAATCAACAACGGTAATCTGCGGCCCCCCATACAAAATCCCCTCCAATCCAAACAACAAATTTGGGACAGAAGATGAAACCTTTAGCGTACAAGGATGTCTAACTTATGTCCAACAACCTGTCAAACCCAAGGACGATTACAGGTGATTTTTAATTGGGAGAATTGAGTGTGAAGGTGTGATTGGCAAAGAGCCATGGTGTGTCTGTGATCAGGTGCAAGTGTCCCACAAGTGGCCTAGTCTGATTCCCAGTGTGACCATTATGCAAATACAGCAACGAGACAAGCCTGCAACATAAATTAGTCTAACGGATAAAAGCACTTCTCTAATCAAACCGGATTGCAAAATCTATTTCTTGCAGTTTGGGGAAAGAATTGAAAAATACTATATCATCTTAATTTTTTTGTTTCTGTGAACAGGAATCAAGGTTTAAAATTGTCCTTAATCTTTTGGAGAAAAGTTTTCTCTCAGCTTTCCTTTGACTCACAGCAGGATACACAAAGTGCAACCTCTAAGCTGGTCCCTCCACCCAGAGAAAGGATAGCAGGGAATCAAGTTGCCACTAGTTTTCTTGGTCTTCGTCAGTATGGTTTTGATGTGTGGGGCCTGGGTGGGGTCTGAATATGGTATTGGTGGCTTTAAAGCTCCACAGGACTACAGAAAAGCAGCCTAATGATGGTGCCAGTCCTCCAGGGCATAGGGAACTGGAGCATCCTGGCCTGCATCTCTTCTACCTCCTGCAGTATGCCCATTGGCTACGCTGCCTCTAAGCTCCATATCCCCATAGCCTCATTGTTTAGCAGGCCGGCACTGTCAATATTAAGCCTGGCTAATGTGATCTAAAGGCAGCTGGAGCAGCCCTGATTATTACCATGACACAGCCAACTGAGAGGAGTAATATCATTAAAAAAATCAGGTGGTTTGGAGATTTGCTGTAGCAAGGGGGGGTCTTTGAATGGCATTAGGTAGGAGGACTGCCATAATTTCATTAGTCAGTTGGTGCACCTCGGAGGATCTGTTGAAACATTTCCTTTAAGTTGAAGTAATTTCATTTTCCTTCAAAAACACTGCAAACCAAATAAAAGACAGGGGAAACGATTATAGGAATTTTCCCAAGAGTGTGTTTTTAAATTAATTCAGACATGTTCAGAACTGCAGACACATTAAATTCATAATACGATAATATTTCAATTTCCTAATTGCAGCATATGAGGTCTAGTTGAAAGAAGATAGGATATGCCTGTTGTTATTATTAGCCTCTTGTGCTGGATTATTGTTGCCAATGATGAGTAAAACGTGAGGCACAGCTAATCTTCTTAAACTGCTTGACACTGAGCTGTCTGCTCGTCAGACTCATCAGCAATCAGCTGGAAAGTGAAGTGGCTGACAGAGCCTGTTAACATTTCAAAATAAAATACAATTATGAAAGGCTATATCGTTGCTTTTGTGTTTATTTTTGTTTTTAATTTTTAAAGGGGTTTAAAGGGATGGCTTTGTTGGGAGGTCTTTTCACCTCGTTTTGCATGTTCGATCCGCTATTAAAGCGCCAGAAGTGCCGTTGGTCTCGCAGCAAGGGTCTTATGTCGCTATTGTTTTGACGCTGCAGCCGCGTAAACGGTGATTTCAAGGCCGATTGAGCGCGCGATGGATTGTGGAAGAAATCGACTGACAAGTGGGGAGCATCGATTACAGGAGGAGAGTCGGAGTGACGCCAAGAGTTTTACTGCTCATCACAGTGATGTTAGATTCTGCCATAGACCTTATGGAAAGAAAAAAAAAACATTCATAGATAGATAAATAGGAAGATAGACCATCATTATGGGCCAATTCCTATTATTATTTTTATTGTTGTTGTTTTTTTACTTATTTTATTATTATGATTATTCAATATAAAACATTTCTTTTTTTTTCGTTATTTTCTATTGAATGAGTGTAAATTTAATCCATAGAAGGTAAATATTAATATAATAATTTATACAGTCTATGGTTTAATCTATGAACTGTATGTCTCTACGTGTCTGTCTGTTGTGTAACAGTGACATCTAGTGGTCATGGTTCGAATTGCTCTCTTTCTTTCCTAATGTGGCTTCACTCGGCATGTGTGTTTTTTTAACAGTGGAGGAAGAGGAACAGTACTTGAATGAAAACCCCCATCAGAAGTGGACGGAAAAAAAAAACGATGCAAAGTCACTAATATATAATATAAACAGGATTGTAATGGTGTGAGCAGGACCTTTACAATAGGCTGGACTATTACACAGCAGGTCATAAAATCATTGGGCTACTAACTTTTTACTTCCAATCTTTTTGTTTCATCTAATAAAGTTGTTTATGAACAACAACACATAAATGTACTTGTATGAAAACCTAAATGTTTTCTACAGTGCAGAAAAGAAGAAATATTAAATATCATGAAGTGAATACATTTAGTAATTTATAACAATAATAAAAGACAAATAAGTTGGTGATTTGTTGGATCTTACAAATAAACTAGCACCAATGTATTTAGTTGGATTTATTAAATGTATTAAAATCAAGGTGGCAACTTTATCTTATATTAGACAAAAATAGTAATATTATAAATGTTAAGACATGGCAAAAATGGGCTGCATATACCACCCATGTAACATGTAAAATGCAGGCCACTTGTAGTTCCATGATACATAAACTATTCAAGTAATGTGTAGGAATTTTAATCTTAAACCCTAACAGAACAAAACATATTCTACAGTCAAAAGTCTTCAGTTACCTAATCCATTATTTCCAAGCCTGTAGCAATCAAGTGCCACCAACTCTGCAGGAAGGTCTAGTCTAGTCTAAAATCTGTGTATTGGCCTTGACACAGAAACCCTTTATAGCTGCTTCACTTACAAACATCTGACCCAAATAAAATCTAAATGTGCTCAGAGTCACAGGAGAAGCCAATATCCCCCTCTTTATTCTTACTTCCAACTTTCATCTCTACTCCTACGCTTTGTTTCAGGAGCTCCTTCACATGCTATTCCATGCATCCACCTCTGCATTATCCACCTGCCAGTCCCTGAGCATCATTATCATCATCAGCAGCACCAGCAGCACCCCCCTCCCACCCCTTAAGAGGACACGCGTAACTGACACACTTAACTTCCTAGCTTGATACCGCCTCTCAGGAGCCATAGCCCTAGCTAGTGCAGAGATCTGGTATTACACTTTTGGCTTCCCAGACATCAGGAATGGCTCCTAAAAGAGAACCCTCAATCAAGAACACTCCTTCCCCGACAAGCCAAACAAGACTGGGTCCTCCGTATCCCTGCTCCCCTGCAGCTCCTTCAGCTCCAAAACCGGCTCCAGAGCAGAAACCCAGGATGCTGCGTCCCTCAGATGCACCATTTGACCCCAGCACTTTGGAGGTAAGTAATGTCCCTACAGCAGATTTCTTATGACAAAGCTAATGTGGGATATTAATAAAACTGTACATCATTTCTAAATGTTGTGTTTAACTAATCATTCTTAGTCATTTAGTGGTTATTAAGCATTTTGTAATATTATCCAGCCGATACACAATCAGAACATGTTGTCAGATGTCAAGTGGCACTTTGATTTTGACGATAATACATCAGACAAAGCTAACATAATGAATCTGTTATAAGGCTAAATCTGAGCTAAACGAAGAAAGAGGGCACTGAGAGTGAGGCTGTCAGTCAGTCGGTGGCCTCCTTAGGGAGAAAAGGCTCTTTCCTGTGACAGTATGTGCTATTTCTCTCATCCAGATGGATATTCAAAGAAATTCTTAGCCTGCTCCTGATTATTACAAGTAGCAAAATAACCACACTAATACGAGTCAAATCTAAAAGTGCCGAAGTTGTTTCCCTTTTTTAAAAACCACAAACCACAAAGATGGGAGACTTTCTCACACTTCTGTCCTATAACTGAAGTGAAAGCTTTTGAGAAGAGCCACAGAGAGAACCAGACCCTGAGGCTCATAGTTTTTCAGTTATCACAGACAAATCTTTGAAACGGTATTCAGCAGCTTTTATCTTGGTAGCGGCCAATTTTGACTGCTTACCTTAGCAAAATATGAAACCTGTAAAGCAAACACTGAGAAAAAAATATTCAGAAGGATCAGTGATGCTCAGGAAGTGAACTGGCACCTCTCCAGCCAGGATTTGAACCAGCGACCAACCCAACCCAAGTTCCATACAGACTGAGCTACTGCCGCCCAATAGCATTAGACATTGAAAAAATCCTATTCAAATTTTGAAGAAATGTAATATCCTAACTAAACTGATTGCCCACATTAGACTTTGTTTTTTTTCTGTGCTTTAGCTTTGCTTCCATTTTCATATGCTGTAAATGTCTCTCTGTGTGCAATCTGCATGGGGGGGGGGGGGGGGTGTTTCCCATCTAGCCAGTGATGATATTTGGGCCATGTTATCACACATGCCTCTACTGGGATCATAGACATAACATGACAGAAGGGCCTAGCTGCTGCTGGGCAGAGACAGCACTCTGGCCTGGCTTTTCAGAGATGTGGCATAAGTCCATGATCTAATGTGCAGGCCTTAAGTGATCCGTCATTCCTGCATGCCAAATATTCACATTCTGTAGTGACCAATTTCAACAAACCCAATATTGTTTGGAAAAGTCACTTGAGGGATGAATGTGGAAGCTTTTGGACACGTGCTTAGCTCGAAGAAATGAACACAGTCTATTGATGTTGTGATCCAGCAGATCAATCCATGTATTTTTAAATACTTCTTATCAATAGAGGAAAATATGACGAACCACTGTCTATAAATAAAACAAACAAATCCGCGTTGGATGCGTTAACTCAGGCCACAGGCTGACACGGTAGAAAAACTGTTTGCCTCCATTCAATCACCTGTCCCACCTCACCTGGAGCCTTGCTTTAACCACAGCATCAGCCCAGGCTACACATAGTGCAGTAGAGGGCCAACACACACAACCATAAGGAAAATACCATGACACAAAACAAACACATAATTTGGCTCCAACACATTCTTAAGAAAATACTGTGAAGTCATTCGCTGCAATCAGGCATTAATCTACCTATGTGTGGTCGTAATCACTTAAATCAAACTGTCACCACAAAGGTTAAAAAAAAAAAAAAAAACATCCCTAAGCCAAATTTAATCTAAATTAGAACACACTCCTGTAGTCCTTTGACTCTCTTCTTAAGGTTAAGGGCAGCTTCTTAAAAATAGCCAAGATACTTCCTTAATGGGATGGACAAATTACCTCTGTAGATCATAGGCATATTGTGATTCATTTATCTGGTCCCTTCTGTGTACGTTTTGGGACTTCGCATTTCCTACTCACGCACATGTAGGCTATATGCCATCAGAAATAAGGCGTAAAATAATCATGTTTTTAACTCAAATTTAAGGGACACTTAAGAAAGAAAGAGCAAGAGGCATTTTTGACAGTGGATCTCTGTTGAATTCAATGTACCATATATGGTCAGCTTTTAAGAGTGAGTGTGGTATGACCAATTTTAGTTTATACCCCGAAAGTTATTTATTCCTTTTACATGTCGCTAACATAATAATATTTAAAGTTAAAATAATTTTGAGGCATATCATTAATGTAGGACCATTATACATGACACAAACCATAGGTTTACAACGCTATATATGGAGGTTAGGTGTTCGGCCTCACAAAAGTATTTTTTTTTTTTTTAGTGCGTCGTGCGTGCTCTACGTCATGACGTAACACTGTTAGGGTTGGTTTTGTCACCCTGCCCTTCACTTCGAGCCGTCACACATTCTTTGGTTAGCCGACGCATCGGACACACCTTAGCAAACAGACATGGTGGGTGTTTTTGCTCTTGTACCACTCGACTTAACTATCTTCTAAGTACAAGTACAACTGAAATGGACGTTCAAGAAAATGCTTAGCTTTGCAGGAATGTAAATTGTGTTTGAATCGCGGAACAAGCTCGCCAGTCGGTGTTAGCGGAAGTTAAACTTTTGAGATGCTAACGTTAGCCTACAATGGTAGATACAGTTGAAGATACAACGATTACCCACTTAATGTCGACGATTTCTTTTCGAGTATATAATTCGTTACTGAACATGTTGTATTTTGAAGAATGGTCGATTTTTGGTCAATTTCACTAACTTTTTTAAATGTGGAAAAAAAAAACTTGGACAGAAACCCTAGCTAGCTTTTCTCAGCGCAGCAACCTTTATTCATGTAGCCTAATTTCTCTTTGTACAGTCTGACTTCTCGGAGGATCAAATCCTTGGTGAGTTTTGAACTTTTGTTACGTGACTTTATCGAAATACCGCTTTTTTTTTTTTGCATGCTTCCGTTCTTGCTTTGTTCAGATGACACTTTGCCCTGCAGCTCCGCCATCACTCTGCTTTACGCCCGCTTGTCACGGTAGTCGTGGGTTTTAAGCTATATTTCCTTCCTTTTTCCTCCATACTGTTTCACCCACTTTCCACTTGCAATTGCTTGTCCTTTCCAGATTGAATTTAACCTGGATCAGATTCATGGTAAGTCATTGAAGGGGTCTGATCGCTATCTCGAAGTGTTTGGGTCGGGCTCTGCATGAGGTTTCATGATAAAAAACCACCCTGTTTAAGATGTGACTGAGACTCACCTGTTTGGTACGTCAAAGTTAGTCATATTTTTCATCTAACATTATATTACTTCTCAGCTCTGATCGTGTGTTGCAGTGTTTTTGTTCGTAAACCATCATGCATTTAGCAGCACTTAAATAGCCAAAGCTTTTATCTGTTCTTACAGTTCTTGTAGACATGGCTGTGTCTGTTTTTCATAAACTGTGTCTGTTATCTTTCAAGCGGCTCATCTCCATGAGTGTGCCCTTTTTTGGAGTTGGAGATGGATACAGCCGTGGATGGTTTGTGTCCTAGGGCTGGTTTGTTTAATCACCGTTGACATAATAGGCCACATCTACTCTCACTCTCCTCCTACTTGCCTCCACTCCTCTAATACCAAATATGGTGATGGGAAAAGTGCTCACCAGCCAGAAGGGAAGAGGCACATTCCTCAGAACAGGAAAAACCTAACAACACTGGCTGAGCTTTTTTTGGGGAAATAACTTGTCCCATAACATTAGGCCCAGACTTCTGCACAGATGTTGTGTAATCATGTCTCCCTGATTGCTTGATCTTAGCTAATCTTTTTTTGTTTGGCTGTGTAGCCTAACTAGAATGGTTTTTGTTTGAAGTCAACAATGTTGTGATCCGATCCGCCAGAAGGATGGGATTACATTTACTGACAGTTGATGATGCCAAGGCAGTAATCATTTTTTTAAACTAATATGCTCACCCTGTGGCAATGTGTTTCTATAAAAAATAATAATATAAATATATAATATAAAAAGTTTTAGGAAGAATATGTTCTATCCACCAAGACATTTATTTTGTTCCTGGCTGAATCTGTTAAGAACTATTAAAGTGTGGGCTAGTGACACGTACAGTATATGATTCTTTGCAAACAAGATCAGTGAAAAGCAATTACAGACAATGGGCATGGACCAACTGAAGCACATCATTTCCATGTGTATTTCTTTGTTTAGGGCCTCAATTAAATGTTAAAAAAGATGAAATAATAACAATCAACGAACAATTAGTTGGATGCAGCTTTTCCAATAATATTTGCCTAACTTTTCATATTTATATCTAAAAAGATTTAAACAATTTCACTCTAAACAAACATCCAGATTGAAGGTGTCATTTTAAAGAATGTTCATTACTTTGAATATAAGGTATATACAACACATATCCTGTCTGTCTCTATTGGGTCACTGAAGTGATGTACTTCTAAGTGCTGGTTTGGTTTTCATCTGTTGTTGAGTTCCAGTCGAAAATGTTTTAGTTCATTCTAAGACCTACAACATTTAGAATGGTTTTTGTCAGTACTGGAAACCTTAGACAATTTGGCCCTGCTTTTAATCTGATATTCTGAGTTTTGTATTTTGAATATTTCTAACTTTTACCTGCCAGCTTCGAACATTTTAAACCTGTTGGCCTGTAATTCAGACTCATATCTCATATTTATGATGACTTATTCTGCACGTGTTTACATTAACCACAGCAAAGATGATTTACCTGGTGGTGATGTGGCACCATGTTTTTGTAAAGAAGAGACAGACTGACCAGATATTGCTAAATTGAGGAAGTTAGAGGCGTGTTTGTCAACCAACAGAAAACATAAAGAGGTGCACTTTGAATCCGTACACATGATCATGGATTCACCTTGGTAGGCTGGTATTCTACCTTAGGCGTTTCAGTGTGTTGCTCTGTGCCCCGCCTATCCAGTAATCATCACTTCTCATACCTGTGCATTCTCTTGTCTGCTTCTGCTCAATTACTTCTGGCTACTCTGTGTTCTTCTATTATCCGTGTACTTCCTGTCTAAATTCCTGAATACAAGCCTGCTTATCCTTCATACAATTCTTTATATATCCAATTCTTTCGTGTGTCTGTGTATCCTGCAGAGTTTAAGGAGGCCTTCCAGCTGTTCGACAGGACAGGAGATGGGAAGATCAGCTACAGCCAGTGTGGGGATGTCATGCGTGCCCTGGGACAAAACCCTGTCAACGCTGAGGTGCTCAAGGTCCTGATGAACCCCAAGGCCGAGGGTGAGAGTTAAAAATGCAAATTACAGCAGATATATATATAAGTCTAATGAGCACCAATCGTTGTAACTGTGCTCGATTTGTAAAAAGAGCTAAACGACTTATTTTCTTCTTTCTCTTTTTTGTCTTTCTGCAGAGATGAACACCAAGATGCTCGAATTTGAGCAGTTCCTGCCAATGTTTCAGACCATCGCCAAGAATAAGGATCAGGGCTCAATGGAGGATTTTGTGGAGGGACTGCGCGTGTTTGATAAAGAGGGCAATGGCACAGTTATGGGCGCAGAGCTTCGTCATGTCCTCACCACATTAGGCACGTTACCTTTTTAGCCTTTGAATAAATATCTAGTTAGATAAATTATCCTGGTTTCTTTTCTGCACACTATTCACTTTTTTTAACTTCCCATAAAATACTGCAATTCTTTCAAAGGGTGAGGGATGTTAGGACTAGAAACATATATTTAACTTGATGTTGATCACTGTTATCCTTTTTAAAAGTAAATCTTTTACATGACACTAATGTGAAAATAAATAACTGTTTTTATGTTTCATTTTCAGGTGAGAAAATGACAGAGGAGGAGGTGGAGACACTCTTGGCAGGACATGAAGATGCAAACGGCTGCATCAATTATGAAGGTAAAAGAAATCAACCATAAAGGAAGTGAAAATATTTGATAGCATCGACACTGAGTGTAACCCAGAGCCTGAAATGAAAGTTGTTGTTTTTTTTTAGGGCGGGGGGGGGGGATCTGCAAACCTAAACATGACGAGGAATTTCTAACTGGTTGTGAAACACACTGAAATGAATACTGTTTCCTCTGACAATGCAAGACTAAGGGAAATCCATGTTGTTCTGTTAAACATATTGTTTATGGTTGAGATGACTTTAATTGTATCACCTTAAGCTCCTACAGTTACATTATTTACACATACAGTATACCTCTCTCTTCTAAACACAGACAGCGTTCCGGCCCAGTTTTAGCCTGCCATCCCTCTCCTATATTCACAGCACACCGTTAAATAAATAAATGCTCTAGAAAAAGAGAGGGCAGGCTTATGCACAAGTGATCCACACTTCATGTTGCCAATTCTGATGCATAGTCTCCGGCCGGTCTGTTAATCGTCTTGAATCGCTTGTCGTTGCAAACATTTTTATATCGAGTGGAATTTTTCACTGCATAATGAGTGCGAGAATTGCAGGAATTTTATATTTTGTGCGTGATTCCTGCATGCCGACATTCAGGGCCTGGTAACCATGTCATTGCCTTGGAACAGAAAATAATGGAATGCATCCTTCACACCGAGTCTTCAGTGTGATCATGAACCCTCTGTCATGTTAAACACTATGCATGCAGTGTTGACAGGTGTATGAAAAGCTATTAGTAGAGTATCTTGTATCCAGTAAACAAAGGGAAAATGCACCCTTATAACTAGAGATGCACCAATCCACTTCTTGTCAGTTCTGATCCGATTCTGATATTTTACATAACTAATAATGTTATTGTTGTTGTTGGTAGTATATGTAAGGTGACACAAATCTGTAGTAAACCCAGAATTGCATTGCGCTGGCTTCACATACAAACAGGATGTAGCAACAGCTGTCAGGTTTTTCCAGATTAAATCTTTTAAAAGTGTAAGAATTTTTCTTTTGATCAAGCTGTTCCATCTCGTCTTAACGTTGTCATGGAGACAGTTTGCGGGCACTTCTTACAGTTCAGTCTGAACATCTTCAAATTGAGACAATATTTAAACCCAACCATATTTTACCATATCAATATCAGATTGAGAGGTGAACCAATTGACCTTGAAGGAAATCGGGATCAGCCAAAGAAATTGAAATCAGTGCATCTCTAGTCTCTATACATGTACCCATTTTAATATTTGTTCTTGAGGCAATCTTTCAATGTCAAACTGCTGACAGAGTGTTAACTGTTCTTCCTCCACAGCATTTGTTCGCCACATCATGTCAGGCTGAGGGCCGGTACGGGCATTTGGTATTCATAAGATGGTACCTCCAGGCTTTCCTGCATTTTAGATATGAAATCATCCTTTCCTATTTGGCACTTCTAACACTGTTCAGCTGTAGCTGTCCTCTTCACTTCAGCAAACAGAAACAATATATTTTTGAAAAGTAGATTTGACCCAATAGGTACCTGCGGGAAAGCCTCGTACCTCTCATCTTTAGTCCTGAGGATTGGACTTGTGTGTAGCCTCCTGCTTCCTGTCTCTCTCTCTCTCTCTCTCTCTCTCTCTCTCTCTCTCTCTCTGCAGCCCTCTGTCCTGGCCCCTGGCTGCAGCATGCCCCTCTGCATGTGTCTTGGAGTCCCCTCAGTTTAGAAGGGGATATGGTGGACACACAGGGAAGAGTCTGGTCTCATTCAGGGAAAGTCTGGTGGCCTCTGAAGAGATATTATTTGCTGATGGGTGTAGAAGTCACTTGACAGCTCCTCTGATCTCATTTGCATGTTATTGGGCCTGTCATATACATCATTATATATCCCTTTTCCTCTGTTGGTGGTGGAGTTACTGTTCCCTTCACAGAAAGACAAAGTAGTTTAAGACATTCTTTTGCATTTGAGTACAGCCACCAGCTTTGGGGGAGTGGACCAGTCCTTTTTCTACTAACCAGAGAGCTGCAATGAGTTGCTCTTGTGCTGATTGTTTTTTTTCCCTCTTTACTGATGAAAGCTGTTTTTTTTTTAAAGCTGGCCACTATCTGACTGGACTGTATCTCCCTTCATCTTCTCTCCTTTTCCCCGCTTCTCAACTAGAGGAAAGCAAAGTTGGCTTCTCTAACTAGCTCTCGAATCTTAGAAATGGCCAGACGCTTTGGCTGAATAGGAGATAGAGATGATTACCTCAACTCTGTCTCTCATTAGCTCCTTTAACCCCTCTTTTTTTTCTGGGTGAGGAGGAGAAGATGGAGAACCTGCCTTCAAATGCAGCATCTCCCACCCAGGCTCACCAAACCTGGATAAGGAGGAGGCCTTAGCGTCACATGCTGTAATTGGAGGTGGTCTCTGCCAAGTGCTAGACAATGACTTTGACATTTGCCTCTTTCTCCTCTCTCCTTCACAGAACTGGTCAGGATGGTCATGAATGGATGAAGACGAAGAGCATCCCACTTTTTTTTACCCTGTGCATGTAACCCCTTTTTGCAGTTAGCTTTTTCCAACCCAAGCCTTTTCCATGGATTTATTTTCCAAATTTAATTTAAAAAGTGCCTTTACATTCCCTAGAAAAGACCACTTATAAAACTGGCTATAGCTGCTCAGTTCATTCAAGTATGTGACCAACATGCATGTGCTAGCATTGTTTGCAAAAACATTCCTGGATGCGGCAACATAAAGACAACATAAATTGATAATTATATACTGTAACTGTTGGATGGGACATTAATATATATATATTTGCATAGTAACTGTCAGCAACATACTGTATCATTGGCTAAGACTAGCTTCTGCTGAGGGACATGTCCCTCCTGATTCTGCAGTTAGTTGGTATATTCTAAGCATACTATACTATGAGGCAGAAAGAGACATTTCAAATTGGTTCCTATGTTTTTAATCCTCCTCAATTTTTGTTGCTGCATAGTAAATAAATGTTTCCCTGAAAACCTATCTTTGTTGTGTTGAGAGGATTTGTTTGATTCAAGTGAAAAAGATTGAACTGCTTTGTCTTATTGGGCTTTGCACAATGCATTGAAATTCTTTCACCAACACTAGAGGGCAGTGTTGCTGCTGTGATCATGTATTTTAAAAGGGCCACTTCACTTGGAAAATATACAGCGTATAATACCAGAGGAACATCTCAGTGTGCGCTTGAATGACTGCCAAAAACAAATCAAGAATGTGTTGATAATAATTGGCTCTTTCAGGAAATTTAGGTAACTCCTGACGGTTGCATCTGTTCAGGGACTCTAGCCACCTGGATTTGACCTAAAACTGTTTGATCTCAGACGTCTTGTGGAAATTTTCTTAGAAATATTTTTTTTGACAAACATCTAGGATATGAGCAGCAGAAGGCTAGTTAATGGCTTCCTGACCTTTTCTTCATTTTTCCACAAGCAGCCACAACTATTTCCCCTCATTAGGTACCACAGCTATTGGAGTGTGGAGCTTATGTGTGTGGGGTAAGGTTCAGGAGGGTGTCATAGTCCACTGCTGAATAGGTTGTGCACTAATTACTCGGCGTGTGTGTATGTGTGGTCGATGGAAGTCAAGGCTATTGATTATTTTAATCCTCCTATTTGTGAGTCTGTGATCCTCGTGGCTCTGCATTCGACAGGGGAATCACTAATGGGCCTCAGCGCAGCCTGTCTCAGACCTCTCCCCGTCCAATTAACTTTCAACTGGAATCTGCCAGGAGGGAGAGCCGGGGGCTGGGCCCGGGCACGGCGTGGCTACATCCCTCTTTCTCTGCTCAGGAGCAACAGATTCACAAAATCCTTAAAGTCACGAATGCCAACAGCTCTGTATTCCAATTAGACACTTTTCTTTTTGCCAATAATATTAAGATTCTTTGTCTTTAACATGGAGATGATGCCTCTCTTTTACTGGTATAGAAACTACGGGCTATAGTGGAAGATACTGAATACAAAATAAGACTGGAGATTTTCATCCACTTATTGTTGCCTTTAACCAAACATATTAATGTTTTGTTTTTGCACACTTTCTAGTCAGTTCCAACCCTGTGTGATAAAAGTTTACATATCATTCATTAACCTTAAGACAGTGAATGTGTCATACAAGTACCTCTGAACAACTAACTGAATAAGGTTAAACAAAAATCATTCTACATTCCAAATACCTATCTTAAAATTAATTAAAGGAGAACACAGAATACACATACAGAATTTACAGATAATAAGCTCGATAAATGAATACAAAGAAACAATAGAAAAAATCAGTTTGGAGATAATAAGCTGGTAGAAAATGTGTCTTTAAAAAACAAATCATTAATGATGAAATGTTATTTACTGCAGACATGCCAAAAAATCCACAGGTTTAAACTTCTTGAATTGGATGATTTTACCTTTTTTTTTTCTTACATGGTATGAATTTGGATTCCTTTGCTTTACTGGCTGCCAGTCTGACAAAAGAAAACATTTGGAAAAGAAACCGCGATTCTGGAATTAGAATGGATATAACTTAACTTAACTTGTAATTTTGAACACTGAATTGTCTGTTGGTGAATTAAAGAAATTCTCAATATTCCTATCAATAATAACAAAAATAGTCCTAAATTGAAGCCCCAGTCTGAGAATTCACCTTTATAAGGAGATCATGACATTTTCAGCTATTCACTATAGAAGTAAATCTATTTATAAATTAAAATTACTCAAGGAGGTTGTAGATTTATAGTATGTGTGTGAGTGAGAGAGAGAGAGAAAGAGAGCACAACATGACTTATATGAAATCACTGCAGCATTATCAATATATTCATAGCTTTGCACATATATTATCGGGAAGATTTCACTGATTCCCTGGATGCTTTTCTTGTTATTGCTTGCTTTTTACAAATTATCTTGGTTCAAAATCCTGATAAACAACGTCAAGCCTTATTGATCACTGAACCAATTCGGTTGGTTTGTACAATTGATCACTGTACAGTTGCATTTAAAATGCTTCCATTGGCGGGATTATGTAGTTCCTGGGTGTATTATAAGATGTGATCAATAAAGCTGTATGAATGTTTGTGTCTTTGATAGTGTCTTAAGACATATTGGAAATCCATGTAAAAGCCGGCAGTGGCTGTGGTCCACCACTGTTGATTCTATCTTAGCTGTTAAATCCACGCAGCCAAGTCATACATCCAATTCAGCCACAGTCGGTGTGAGTTGTGACTCCAAATTGAAATAGAACAAACTGAACAAACATTACATCAGATGAGAACGAAGACAAGATGAGTATAGATATTTTAATAGCAATCATTTAATCAACCTATTCAACATACCAGATACCCCCTCCCAGGATAACTGTTTACATATACTTGATACTTTGACACGGTTTCTCAAAAATAAAGTACTAAGTAGGTATGGCAGTGTAATTACAGTAACATGTCTGAAATGTATATTACAACCTTTAATGTCAATTAAACAATGCAGCTGTTACTTTTCACTGCGTCTTTATCTTACAGTATCTATATATCCACTCATACCGATATACCCAACCACCCGCGCACACACACACACACACACAATACTGTCAATAATTTACTTGGCAATTGAAACTTCATCACACATCAAGTGCCATCCATAAAATGTGTCAAGATGTGTCGCCTTATTTATTTTCATATGTTTACTTTGAATGAATCATCAATCACTTCCTGTGTCATGATAGAAACAGGAACAAAGAGGTAAAACATCTGTGTTCATACCGTTGGCCTTATTTTAATCAGCAATGCTCCAATGCAAAGGGATCACAGCAGGGCTGGTGTAACTCACTCGAGGGTGGTGCTTTATTTGAACGATGATGAGTCGCAAAATATATGCAGCAGTCTGATCAGTGGTCACTGGAACCGCAGAGCAGACATGTAGAAGATAAATACTGTGTTGGTATACAGTAGGCGGGCATTTACCTCGGCTCGGTCTTTTTGATTAATGGCACCCTCGACACCATTAAAGCATTAAAAAACAATTAGACTGATGGTGTGTCTTATATTCTAGTTGTACAGTGTTTGTTAATATGCAACACGATTAAGTATTTTAGATATTTTATGAGCCACAATGTGCAAGTGTTATGTGCACTTATACTGTACATAATCTTGAATTCATATTTGCACACAAAGGGCGCCAGTAAATGCAGTTGGCTCAGGATGATTGGCTCAAAATCACATAAACCTCTTCTCTGATTTTCACTCGATCCACACATCTGTTGTCTGGTATAATGCCAGGAGGTCTGCATATGTGTTTGTGTGTATGATTGCTTGCATTTGTGGTGCATGTGTGTTTCATGTCTGTGCATTTGCTCTATTTGCATATGTACATGTGTTTGAATTTGTGTTATGTATGTAGTGGTGTCCGTTCTCAGTGAGTAAGGACTCAGTCAGGGTAGATGAGGAAGCCGGAGAAGGTGCTGTACTTGTTTGTGTTTCCTCCGTGGACCTTCCCTCCGTCCAGCTGCACACACACCTCATCGCCCACGTCCAGATGCAGGATCACACTATTGGAGGCGTAGTCGTAATTCTGATCAGCGTCCTGAGCGATGGCGCTGGCTCTTACCTGTCACCCACAGAGGACAAATGCATTGACAATTAGAAGGTGGACGAAAGCGAACAGACACTTGCAAATGTCACAGCGAATTACTCAAAAGTTCCGGGAAGTACACAGCACTATAAAACAAACCCCCCTGATATCTCATTATAATCCTTAATCACTTTTCTCTCTCTAAAGATAGGTCACAGACAATTCTTAGCAGCCTTTCATGTGTATGACATAACCTCTACATTCAAGCTGGAATAACATATAGATGGGACTGTGACCTGTGACCCAAGAGGTGGACTGAGAACACATCCACTCTGCCTCTTATTGATCAAGTTGGGGGGGTGGATTGGGGCAAAGGGCAGAGGATGGAGGTCTGATTGGGTTGTGCAGATAAGCCGACTCACCGGGGGACAACAGGTTGTCTATGGGGAACTAGCAAAGCCGAGAAGCAGCATCACTATCCACACCAGCTATTGACCTGTTGCTTATGATCCAGGACCTGCTCGATATGCATGATATCGAGTGGCTATGCTGCAGCCAGACAGTTTCACATTTGCATGCTGTGTGTGAGTTTGGTCTTATTGACCCAGCGGCCGTGGATCTTTACTTGTTTGTTAACACATTTAATTGGGTTTACTCATTGTGGACATTTAAGTACACACGCCTCAATTGGGTTACAGTTGGGGAGGAATTGCACAAGCACTGCAGAGGGGCACTGAATTCTGAATTTTTAAATATTATTTGGGATGGAATAGACATGTAAGGATCTTAATTAAGTAGTATAATTCTCATATTTAGATCTTGAAAAAATCCTAACGCTCATAGATAGATAGATAGATAGAATAAACAATGAGACAGAACAAAAATGTAAGCGTTTTAACTATGTTGTTTTTTCTGAAATCTTCCTCAGCCAGTTATATCAATAATTCCGTTGTAGCCGCTCCAATCATCAGACATATGTCAGCCATCAGTGGCCTTGTGTCTGGCTCAGTGTCCATCCACGGTGGGAGCACTCAATCTGTGTCAGCAGCCAGACAAGCCACGCACATCTTCATGACAGCCGCAGAATATGATCTGCAACTCAACTACCATCATGTCATCCCCATCACTGCGACCCCTTTCTCCCCAACGAGCATGCATCAATTTCAAAACCGCCAATCCCTGAGCAACAGAGCCTGAATTACTGTTACTGAAAATATATGCTTTCTGCCCCCAACCCCATATTGCTCTCGTCGGAACACAAACTGTCTGCCGGTTGTTCACCCTGGACTTGAGTTCAATTTCCTTGACAATATCTGTTGCTCTCCTTTAAATGAGATGCAGGACATGAATGCTGCATCCAACATGCAGCATGCTGGTGACCAGTGAAAACCATGTTTCTGTCCACTGCAATTTACATTGATTGAGGGAGCAGAGAGATAGATCTCCTGAGGCTTCACAACCCCACAAACACACAGTAAAACCAAGCAGGGCTATTGTTACTCTACCGCGATAATCCTGTTTCATTAGATTCTGTTGTGCACACGGGTGTTTTATACAGCTGTTTTCTCACTGCCGAACTACTCAACTTTTCTCATTTGAATGTTACGAAAGCCACATATGTTTGAAAAGATATTTTGAAAACCACTTGTTAAGCTGAGCAGAAATGATAAGAAAATGTAAGCATAATATATAATATACATGATTATACAATGTTTATTTTATGATCAGACCCATACCCTTTTTTTTTAAAGTTTTAAGTCTCCATGTGTTTCCCAGGCCCAATTAGTCTAATGTAACATAATCCACCCTTTCTTGGGCTCTCATAAGACCCTCTCTCAAATAATGACACCAATCCATTGTCATCTGTAAAGGTTATATTGTTGTTCTGCTTGACATGTGAAGTGACAGCCAATATCACATTTGCATCTTTGGCTGCCGCTGACAGTGATGCTGTTGTTGTGACTTCTTATCGACACCGGGCATATGTCATCCTGCTCATTATTTTAGCCTAACAGTACAACAGAGGAGTTGGACCTCCCTTAGATCTCAGGCTTAATACATGGAAGAGCAAGTTGAATTCTGTTCAAGTGAATGATATTCATCTCTCAGCGGGAAAATCGTATTGCCAATATATGATGTATGAATTGATGCTTCTGCTGATGTCCCTGTACGTGGAAGAATAATACAAGCCATCCTTTATGCAGATAGCAGACAGAGAGGCATAAGGAGAGCCGGGATGGGATTAAGACAAGAAGCCGAGATGGATACGGCTTGAGGACACAGGCTGATCCATGAAACACAGGCAGCACATTGAGCTGATCCTGGAGCTGGAAGGGTTTGTGAGCCGTGAGGCACAGTAGGCCCCCAGGGTTTCGCCTGTGGCCATCTCTGTCTCTGCCTAGCCCTTTCATTATAGGGCCTCCAGTAAACACGCCTGGGAGCAGAGGGGGCCACAGGCGAGGAGATGGGACGGGGGAAGGTCGCGGGGAGCAGCTGCGTTGTCATTTTCTATACAAGTCGAGCTGCAGTGCGAAAGACGGACAAGGATAGACAAAAAGAAGGGAGAGGGAGGAAAAACCAAAAAAAAGGGCCCGAGGGTTGATGATAGAGGGGTGGAAGGGAGGGAGCGGAGGGCTAGAGTAACAGACTGATCAAGCGAGGCTATTTTGTGAGACCGGGGAGATGTCGGGGTATATGAAGTCTTGTTTTTATCCGTGGTGCTGTGCTCCACTGGTAATAAAAGTGACAGGATTCATTCACTGTGATATACTGACCTCTTAGAGCGGAGACAATAGAAAAGTAGCTGTTAAACTTACCTAAGGGACTCCAGCACATGGCAGGAGGGCTGGGGACAAGTGTGTGTGTGTGTGTGGGGGGGGGGGGATGGAATATTTATTGAATAGGCTTTCCCCTCTCCTCTGGGAGCCCGGGGATTACATGGTGACAAGCAACTGTGGCATTGAACCATACCTTAGATTGCTATTACCTGTCACTCAGTATTCCAGCCTTTATTTATAAGCTCAAACCTATACACAATATGACAAGAAGAACTTTTTTAATTACTCATTTATTAGCAGCAAATGATGATTTAATACTTAGATCTCTAAGTGAGTAAAAAGAAAACATCTGACATGTCTTAATAGAGCAAATGTATCTGTCTCTTGCCCCTGGCTCTGATACAAATTATAAACCACCTGTAGCTTATCCACATCTCTGTACTGAGAAAGTTATTACAGGTAGCGGTCATTACAGCGAGTGATGACATTTTAACACTACTGTGTGAAATTACTTGACCTTTAAGTGAGCTATTAAAAGAGTCTGTGACAGGTTTAAAAAAAAAAAAACAAGGGAGTCATTAAATGAGAGCTGTGCCAGTATCTATTTCACATATGTATGGTGAAGTATGGGAATATACACAAGTAGGTGAACATATGGCATCCTAATTAATGAAGGGGAAGAAAGAAGTTCTGTCTGAAAGGACGTATGAAGTATTACCATCCTTCAAAGTAAAAGCATGCTAGCATAAGTATAGGCTTTCTTAATAACATTTAGTACAAAGCTGGAAAGTTAAAGCTCCCATAGGAGTTTTTAACCCGTAATTAAACAGACTGAATTGATATTGATACCTTTATGTGACCTACAAAATCGAACAAGTCCATCACCATAACTATTGACAATTCCTTTGTAGGTATTTCTAATGTACTAAACCACAGGGGTAGGTATCAGACATAGTAATTTGCATGCTGCAGAAACAGCCAGAATAGAATGGATTTAACATGAAGTGCACCTACAACTATTCATTTTGAGCAAATCCAAATCACAATTAATACTGAAGAATCATAAGACTATAATGATGTATCCATCATCAGCCCGGACTGGAGCAAAAATTGCCATCAGACATTGTTTTTGTACTGTAAGTCAATTACAAACAGGGGGGAGCAACTGAAGTGTGACCCCCTTCAATCACAAATCCCCTATGCTTCTGAAGCCCTGTCATGCTGCAATGATTTGTGAAAGTTAGATTGAGGTTTGAGCAGGTGGGCTTTACAGAGTGGGGATTTAGTGGAGGTAATAGGCATCGGATCAATAGGAATCCCATGGAAGCCCTGGCACAGTCAGCATATCCTCTTGAGATCCTGGCATTGCATTACACCACTCTCGTGTCACAAGTCACCGTGCAACAGAGTGTGTATTGTGCCTGTTTAAAAACCATTAGCTAGATAGAGCAAAATGCATATATTACTAGGAGAAATATTCATGTTCAGTGTTAATTAACTGCTGCTTTCAAAGCCTCCTGTTCTTGGTGCTTAAACATACTTTCTAAAACAGTTTTCTCTGTATTCTTCCCGGCCTTGATCACTTGTCAAGGCGAGACGTGTCGAGTGGGTGTCCATTGGTCATCACCCTCCGATCTCATCCTGGCCTTCACTAGCAGCCTCCCTGATGCCTCGTCTACCAGCCCACTGTCTCCACAACTGCATGAAGTCATCTATCTTCCTCTGCTCCACCCCTGATCTTCATATCAACCCACTTGTCTTGTTTTTCTCTCCCCTTTCACTGTCTACTATTGGATGTCTCTGCATGTCCCTGCCATGTCAGTCTCTGGCGTTTCATTCATTCACGCTCAATCTGTCTGAAATTTGAATCTGTTGGATGGACTGCCTACCAAACTCAAGGTTATAAATGGCCTGTTCTGTAAAGGAGTAAAAATGTACAACATAGAGGGAAGGGAAGATGGAACATTTTGGGCTGTGGCAATCTTTTTGTTTGTTTGGATTAAAAAAACACCTCTGGGATGACAATATATCCGGTAAAGCCACAGCACCTACGGCAATGGCAAACAGGCTGTTTGATTCTACAGTCAGTGAGGCAACCTTTCAAACACAGTGCCCATTTAGTAAACCCTCACCATGGACAGACAGGAAGAGTAGCCATCTGCCTCAGGCTTTCAGTAACTCCTAACATGATCAGACTTTTTGCAGAACCTCATTTACACTCCACTTTCATCTACCTGCAGCTCTATTTGGATAGGAACCTGTAAGGTGAGCGGCATATTTAACAGAAGTTTTTAAAGAGGCCGCCTGACGGGTGTCAAACGGACCTGGGTGATGTTAAATGATTGAGTTGGGTGAAAAGATAATTAATGGAGAATCAATGGACAAGATGAGGATAGGTTTGGAGTGGAAAGTATGGTAGGAGTTCAGGGATCTAATCTAAGAGGTATAAATTATTTAGCAGGCTAAAATGACTGGAATGACAATATACGACACGAGAGGCAGACTTGCACAATATGCAGTCTGAGGGAAAATAAAAGTGAACAAATTAATTTAAAACACTTAGTTTATCAACCAAAATACATCTAATTGAGCTCGTAATATGTAGTATTCATAACCATGGTGGATAATTGTGCAGTATGTATGAGCCTGTGGGTTTAAAAAACCCTGGCAGCAACACAAGTCTAAAGCAGAGGTCTGGTAAGTGAGTATTTGCATTTGAAGTCCTTGATGAATGAATGAATGTAAAAAGCAACTTGCAGAATGTTTCCTGAATTTGGAGTCCTCAGATGAAATCCATGTGATTTATCCCACCTCAACACTCCTCTTCCACTCCCCCTTCCCCCATCAGCCCCTCTGTCTTTAATTAGTGTCTGGGGAATGAGGGAGTGGATGAGTGGACTGTCAATTTTACATTCATTATTTATTTAGCTGAGGTGTAAACTGACTGGCCCACGTACTGACAGACATTTCTCCAGTGCTCTTTTGCACTTCTGTTTAGGCGATAATCAAGCTCTGTGTATGATACTTACTAATTAGACTGTTCCTTTTGGTGGCGGCGGCTGCATTCTGCCACTTGTCATTTAGCCGGAGTACATGTGGGAATGCAAATATCTGTGGCTGGGATTTTAGACTGTATAGCATGAATTCCCCTTAACGGGGAGAAAGATTTCTGTTTCATTCTTTGGTTGCTTGTAGCCGCCTGGTAAAGTGGAATGTGATCGGAATGTGAAGAGCTCAATGTTACATAGGTGAATGTGAGTCAATAGTAGCACAAGATGGTCAACAGTGTAAGAACATCTGTCACATAGTCGTGTGTGTGCATACATGCATAAACATAGATACGGATCCTCCATTGAGCACACACTTTCATCCCCCAAAGTGACACAAACACAGAGGTGGAGCACTAAATTCTTGGACCCATGCATTCTTAAGGCCCTCTTCCTGTGCTCCTGATCATCAATATCATTGGGCCTTTCATATCAGAGAGGCCCAAAAATAAATAAATCTACTCACCATTCCGTTCTTCTTCAGGTCTGCCCACATGCTGGTCCCGTCCCCTCCTCTCATCAGAACATGATAGGTGAAGAAGTAAATGCCGGGCAGAGGACAGGTGAACTTGCCGGTACTGGGCTCATAATAGTTCCCCACATTGGTCACCACATCGTCGAATTTTAGTATCTCACTCCCCTCGTGCTGCTTTCGTAGCCCTGCATAAAAGGCAATTTTGGGGGTGTAATGCGATGGTGAATATCCACCAGGACCTGGACCTGGGGGACCCTGTGGCCCTGGTTTACCTGGCTCGCCAGGGGGTCCTCTTGCTCCTTGAGGGCCAGGTATCCCCGGAGGCCCTCGGAGACTAGACTTTATCTTCTTCCCAGAGTAATCCTGGGGTGGTGGTGACACAGCTGTCAGCTCCTGGCCAGGCTGACCAGTGGCATAGGGGTCACATACCATTCTGCAGCTTCCCAGCATTTCATAATGGCTCCCTTCATTTCCTGTGGACCTTCCTTTGGTCGTGTGGACTAGAAGGGGAATAGCCACCAACAGTATCAGAACCATGGCGACACCTACAGCAGCTCCAATTACACGTTTCCTGCGGCTGAGCCGCGAGGCGGCCAGCGTTAGGAAGTCCTCTTCCCCCTTGGCTGGAATTGTGCCGGCCAGGTTTAAACCAGTGAGTGAAAAAAAAGGGGAAGAAGGATGTAGAGAGAATTGAGGGAGGTGGTGCTGGAGCGATCACTGAACTAACTATGGAGATAACGCTCAGTGGCAGTAATCCAGAAGGGAAACAACCTGATGAAAGAATCCTTAAGAAACAAGAACGATTTCCAAGGGCTTGAAAAAAGTTATTTAAAAAAGTGTTGTAAAGAAATTAATATGTTGCACACCACAGTGTTTAAGGGTATTAACACAGAAATCTGCATGCGCCAGATTTGTGATGACAAACTAGAAAAAGCATAATTAACTGATGAAGTCTGCTTAACCTTTGTGGACTTCCCCCGTTGCCGTCCTGTTCAGTTTAATTTTCAGCATCAGACAGATACCATGACTGGCACTGAGCGGTGTTTGTGGAAAAGCAGAGCTTATTAAAAGTACGCTGAAAAAGAGCTGGTGTCAAATTCAGCTCATTGAGGAGGGAGAGAAATGTTTTGTTTACTTAGATCAAGTGTGATTTGCAGAGGAATCTTCGTTCACGGCCCCCCTACAGAGCACAGGATTTCACTTCATGTGAAGGTCTCACCTAATGCCATAACTTTATGTGACAAAAGTTCATCTCAGATCTTTGTACAATCATGACTCCACTTTTATCCTTATTCGACTCTCCACAGTAAATCGATGTTTCTTTTTCTACACTCTTTTTTTCCCAATGTTGCTGCTTTTGATGTATTCCTCTGGCTATATCTGCATCTGGAAAGATTAGCAAAAAAAAACATAAAGACAAAATGACTAGATTGTCCTTATTTATCACAGCTTCATATTTAAGTGCAATTTATCTGCATTAATTTAAAAGTTTCACAATGTAACGCTAATAATCAATCTAAGAATAAAATGATTGCTTAGTTTCTCATAATTAATATTTTCATTTAAGTTGATAATTGAATTTATAAACACGTGGAGTGGGTTAATTACACGTGACTGTCTTCAAGTCGTTGTGATTAATGTAGCCTACATTTAGAACTGTTAAAACAATGAATAATAACAAAACGTTTGAAAAAAAACTCACCATCCTTGTCATCCAAAAATATGTCTGCAGGATAATATTCGGACCATCACTTCAGTCCGCGACTCACGAAAATAATTGAACGACTTTGGACCACCGGAGAGCCCGTGAGCCGACGGGCGCGCGAGAGATGCCGGGAAAGTGATGAGAGTTTCTTAATCAGCGCTTAATCCCCTTCCTTTCTTTCCAGGTAGAAGAGGCAGATTAAATACCGCCAATAATAGGAATTGGAGCCCAGGAGAGTGCTTGAGCACTTTTTTTCCTAAATGAGGGACGCATGGAAATCGCACGCTCCATTCAGAGTGTCTGTCCACTGTATCTCTTTACGCAGCGTTTGGTTCCAAGACTATTGGTCCTAGTCGACACCTGTTAGATCTCTCTCTCTCTCTCTCTCTCTCTCTCTCTCTCTCTCTCCTTTACATATTACCACGTAAAAAACGAGTCCAGCCCAAATTCTGGATAGCGAATCTTTTGGCAATCTATAGTGGCCAACATCCCCTCTCAACAGATTCGTAATACCATTTAAAACTGTTATTTATACTGTTATTTTTGAGCCTAAATGAAATGGTAATTGTATTCCACTGTACACAGATTCATTGTGAGCTAGACCACCATGCTGCCTCCCATCTGCGCCTTGTTAGCCAGATTTTCACCTGTTGTTAGAGTCAAACCCTATGCCTGTAAATGTTTGATAAAGTGTTGCAAAACGAAGGCAGATGTTTTCATCTTGTGTCTGCCGGGGACAGGAGGACAGAGGAGGGTGACTAAGTAAAAGCTGCCTCAGCATGATGTGTGAGGAATGGAGAGGAGACACTAAATGTTCCCCAGACCATTGTCTGTGTGTGTGACTCGCATCCCACAGCTATAAAGCCTCATTAGTGAGACACCCAACCCCACACATTGTGCTGCTTCGCTTCTGTTACCTTCAACACTCACACACAGATACATACAATGTACACACGGACACACATACTTATGCAGGTATTTACAAAGACTTTTTGCAACATTAGTAATGAAAGGCCATGTTTTGTATTCTTGTATCACAGTTTCTTGTTGCAATGGCTGCAAGGAATAATGTGATGCCATGTGGGCTGAACTGTTCAAATATTTTAGTCACATTCACTTTCCATTTAAGACACATCTTTAGCTCATATCATCATTTCCTCTGAGCCTTGTGCCACCTGTCTGACAGGCACAATCACAAATCTTCGTCTTTAAAGTTTAATGGTGGAAGCATTGTCAGAAAGGGGAATAGGTCTACATACAGTATTGATGACTTCCTTTTCATCAACCACCAACCTCTTCGACCTCTCTCTCCTCAGAAGTGATGACAACTGTGTGGAAATGTAGGGATCACACGACCTGATCCCTCCGGACGTGGAGAGGAGGATAATCGCAGAGTTTTAAGGCGTTTTTTCCCAGGGATGGGTTGGATTTAGTGGGAAATTGAGGCGGCGGGCTGGAGGTATTTCCATTGGGAAATGCTAGCAAAGGAACCCTAGGATGAGTTAAATGCTATGTCAGTCCCAGTTTGCAGGTCAGTCAGTCTGGCCCACTAGAATAGTACACATAGGTCTTAAGCAGCAGCATGAGGTAGATAATCATTGCCAACAGTCTGAAGCAATATGCTCAGGATTGGATTTTTAAAGCCTGTTCAAATATTACTGAGGTGATTAATATTGAAATATGCGCATGTCCTCAGCTGTCTGTCCCCCTCATTCTCTATTCTCTTCTTCGTGTGCTATGGAGTATTCATGATCGACTAAAATATCACAATTATGTTGATGAGATGTGTCTTTTTTCAATACATGAGATTGCCTTATCATGCCACTTACTTCCACTGTCACAAAGAAAAAAGGGCAATCGGAGAATCAGTACTGAGCTGAGTTATTAGTTTGTTTAATTATTAATTTCATACATTATGCTACAACAAGAATAAATCTCTGTCATTTGTGCACACGCTTGCACAATTTCGGCTCTGCATTGTCCTCTTCTGGTCTGTGTAAACAGGTAAGAAAGGAGCAGGAACTTATTTATGGGTACATTACTCATGTTATATTTCTTCTCTGTTATGGCTTATAGTCTGCGTTGTTTCTTATGGATGTTCTAATTCTTCAAATCAGCCAGACATAGCAACATTTGAATAGCTATATGTTTTTATTTATAAAAAAGTTAAACTAAAAAGCCAGAGGTTTCTTGGAAGCAGAGTAGTATGTAATCTCATCTATTTTAGTCTCTTGTGTGACACATACGCACATGTGACATATTGCGTTTCATTTTCAAATAGTCTCACTGTCACACAAAAAACATAACAGCGCAGAGAGTGTGAACAACACATACTGAGCATCAGTTCTGAGGAATGATGACATATCGTCCCCAAATGGGACGTAGCTGCCGGAGGGCCGTCAGTCCCTTGGGACCACTGCTCATGTCTTCTACACTTACCACTGAAAGGAATCCAGCTATCAAGCTCCCATTCCTTACTATGGAGATTACTGTCCCTGTAAATCAATTTAGAGGTCATTAGGGATGTAAAGAGGTGATTTGAGGACATGACCGAAACCAGGGAATTGACCATAATTACACATCTTGGGGAGAGGATGAAGAGAAACATCCACACATGGCTGATTTTTCATAATTGTACATAAGAGAAACACTAACATATTTAGATTGGATTCAGTTTGACCCTTCAAACAAAGCTGCCATTTGATATTTCATTGCGTTGAAACAATAGCAGATATTATGTCGAATAAAGTTTTTTTAATTCAGGCTCACTTGTCTGTGTAGGATTGTTCTTGCATTCTAATGTTTATTATCCCCCTGACTTACCTGTTGTAAGCATATGTGTTCACTGTACAGTAAGTGCAGATTTGTAGACAGTGTGCACGGTTGTGGATGTGTCTACATCCCGGTGCTGTGCTGTTTCATTAGGCTTTGATTATGGGCCCTGATGTAGAGTGACAGTGTGCAGATTGAGTTGCACAGCCACTCTAATTCTCTCTATTAATAACAAGCCTCCACACTGCTGTCATGAACCACATTTATTAATCACAATTTGTCATCTGTCCGATTGCTCCACCCTCTCCTTCTCCTTTCCGCTCACCCTCCCTCTCTTTTGCTGTGTTTCTCCTCCCCTCCCTCCCTTCCTCCCAGCAGGGCCAGTTATCCCCTGCACCACCCCCCCTCCCCACCCCCACCCCACCACCCACCCCAGCTCCTCTGCTCGCCTTCAGCCCAGAGACATGGTCCAGCATACAGAGGGATGATCTTGCGCTCCTCTCCTGCTCGCTCACTTTAACTGCACTCTGGAAGGAGTCTGATTAATCAAAAACACTCCAGCTCTAATTGCATGAATAACAGCTAATAACTTGGATTCTGGACTGTTTTGGTAACAATCTTTTTGACGATATATTCTAATAAATGAGAATAAAACAAACACTGATTTGCAATTACAGAATTATAATTCTCTTTGCAGGCCTTGCAAAACATTGGAAGCCTGGAAAGCATAACGCGTCATTACAGAGCGTTAAACCATTTACTGAGAAAGCATGTAGCCGCCTTTAGCAACACATTGATTCGTTTTTGCAGCTGGAATTTCTATGCACACAAAATCTGGCATTAAATCAATGTATATGTTGGGATATGTACGCTGTATTATTGCATTATCAGGAAGAAAATATTCCCATAACTAACATCACATTTCTACTCATGTCTCACTGAAATGGCCCTTGACCCCAGTCAGAAAGATGATTTATGAGTCAGTCAGTCCCCCGGGTCCTGCTCTGCCACTCTAATTTTCAAAGCTGCATCAATGCTTAATTCATTGACACTTTTAGGATATTCATAAACCCTGAGCTGCACCTCACCTCACACCAGAACTTTTTTAGTTCAAGAAACAAACTAGTTACAAGCATGAGTGAGTCTGATCTGAAAAACATTGCTTCTGCCACCAACCTTTCCCACAGCCTGGCGCTGCCCATCACAGCAGCCCCCATCACACAGAACCTG